AGAAGAAGAAGAAGAAGAAGAAGAAGAAGAAGAAGAAGAAGAAGAAGTCCAGCTTTATCTTTGAATTTATTTCTAGGTTACACCGTCTTTCCACTTCTTATATAACCGAGCAGAGGGACGGTATTATTTTTAATAGGAAACTTTAAGGGATTCCCTTGGTGAAATGACTTCTGGATGATGGGAGACAATGAATCTGTTCTGATGTGACAATGGTGAATCTACCTTGCTGGCATCTTCAGAGAAATCGAGCTTGCCCATGGTTGTCACATTCTCAACCGTTGTCTGTCTTCAGCGGGGTAATATTCCCACAATGGCTCAATGCCATTCAGAGAACAGCTAATCTCCCTTCTCTTTTTGCCTGTTAGACATTTTGATTGCCTTGCTAATAATTCTGGGGAAGGGAACTCGCCTAGCAAATGCTGACTGCCCCCCCCTTTTTTTTTCACCCAGATATTCCTTTCAGATTCTTAATTCTGTTGAATGCGGGTTGCACAGTGGAGCTGCCCCAGAAGAAGGCATTTTGTTAAAGCGATGTCCGCTTATTGCTGGCAGCACCGCAATGTTCTAGGGCGGTGCTCAGCAGATAGAGGTATACCCTGGAGACTGGAGGCCTTTCCTCCAGAGGCCAAATCGGAGCCTTCTGACATTCTAGAAAGAGGTTTTGGATTTGTAAAATTGATGTTCCCCACCTTTGAGGTAGACCAGACTTGGAAACGATAGTTATGAATGTAAAAATTATTTTTATTATAGTTATAATGAATCTTCCAAATCTGAATGTCCTCCCTTCCTTCTTTCCTCCCTTCCTCCCTCCCTTCCTCATTCCTTCCTTCCTTTTTTCCTTCCTCCCTCCCTCCTTCCTTGCTCCTTCCTTGCTCCTTCCTTCTTTCCCCCCTCCCTCCCTTCCTCATTCCTCCCTTTCTTCCTCCCTCCCTCCCTCCTTCCTTACTTGCTCCTTCCTTCTTTCCTCCCTTCCTTTCTTCCTCCCTCCCTTCCTGTTTCCTTCCTTCCTTGCTTGCTCCTTCCTTCCTTCTTTCCTCCCTCCCTCCCTGCTTCCTTTCTTTCTCCCTTCCTCTGTTTCTCCCTTCCTCCTTCCGTCTGATACTGCTTCATATTGAGACTCTACTGTTAGGCCCCAAGAAACAAAGAGTGACCATGGAGTAACTTCTAAGTACATTCTTTATTCTTGTTCACCTACAGACAGAATCTTACCAGGTTAAAGCAACTATCTCGTAACTATAGATATAGTTTTTGAACTGCTAAGGAGGGCCAATCTTAATCCTCTTCCTGCCTTCAAGCTGCGTTATCTCTTTGCCCTCTGCAAAGTTCCTTCCTCCTGGGACTTCAGGCTACTTCCTACTATACCTACCAAGCTTCATCATTGCAAATAAATCAAGTCTTAGATAGAAAGATGACAGATAGATAGATAGATAGATAGATAGATAGATAGATAGATAGATAGATAGATAGATAGATAGATAGAT